TCAATGTCCCAACGGTTCCTTCTTTTGCAAGGTGAAGACCTTAAACCTAGAGTGATTGACAACTACAAAACGTCGGGAGTGAATGCGGCCTTTGGAACATCGTCGCACCTTGACCTGCACGACACCGACGTAATCAGTTGCTTTCTTGCGTTTGCTTTGGGTGTTTTCTGCGGAGATCCACATATCGACATCGAACTTTCTTCAGGTGACCACCTCACTGGTCGAAGTCACCCTGACTACGACCGAAAGCCTTTGCTGCTGGGCAGGGGCATCGACTTGAGCAAGGCGTACAAGCAGGTCAGTGTTGCTCCTCAGTCTGCTAGACATAGCGTTTTGGGAGTGCGAAGTGAATCTGGCGAATGGAAGTTCTTTATATCGAAGTCACTGCCTTTTGGAGCCACGTCCAGCGTTTTTGCATTCAACAAGATCACGCGCGGTATCTGGACTTTGATGGTTCGAAAATTTCACCTCCTTACCACTGTATTTTATGATGATTTTCCTGTTATTGAGTTTGAACCTTTGGCGGCAACAACTACGAACGTGGTGCAGCACCTTTTGGATTTGCTTGGGTGGAAGCATGCTACGACTGGTAAAAAGAGTGTTGATTTTTCTGACACCATGCAGGTGTTGGGAGTAGCATTCCACTTGCAGAACTTTTGGAACAAACAAGTGACAGTGGCGAACCGCCCAAGTCGGATACAGAGGATTTTGGAGATGCTTGAATCATACGCTGCCAAGGGTACTGTGTCTGCACCCGAGGCGGCGACTATGCATGGATTGCTGAATTATGCTGGTGGCTTTGTGGTTGGACGTTGTTTGAAGCCTGCCGCCAGACAGTTTGCAAGTTTGCAGTCAGGTTCATCAGATACAGAGCTCATATCGCGCTTGTGCAATGATACATGCAGGATCATTAACCGAATGCGACCACGAGAAATTCGCTTCCTGAGCAGCGATCGTCCGGCAGTGATTTACACGGACGGTGCGTACGAGAATGGGAATGGAACCTGGGGTGCAGTTGTCATAATCCCTCAACTTGGCATTAATGCAATTCACTGGGGAACCATCCCACCAGTCCTGATGGAGCACTGGACATCTATTGGACTTCAGCAGAAAATTTGTCAAATTGAGTTGGTTGCAGTTTTGCTTGTGAGGTATTTTTACCGCAATGAACTTTCCAATTCTTCAGCACTGTACTTCGTTGACAACGAGGCTGCACGTTTTTGCTTGATCAAAGGATCCAGCCCTTCACTGTCCATGTACAACATCTGTCGTGCAGTGTCCTTAGTAGAAGCAGAATTTCCTTCCGCTTCATGGTATGAAAGGGTGGCTTCGGAGTCAAACATTGCTGACCTGCCGTCACGCTCCAAACTGAAAGAATGCCAGGCAATCTCGGGAGGAAACCTTGCAGGCGATATATGCTTGCCTGAAACAATGCTCTTGGAAGTTACAAGAAAGTGAAGCTCTTTACATGTCGAAAAAAAAAACGGGGGTGACAGGCGACATGACTTGTTGACCTGAAACAGTTACCAGACACTTGACTTGTGTTTGTGCGGTTTCACCCCCGACTCAATTAAGATAAGCAAAGACAAAAAGAAATATTAAATACATGTCCGACCTTCGAGCGATTTGCGTGGCGTTTTGAGTTTTACGTTTGTTTGAATAAGAAATTTAATTTACAAAGGGACGAGCACAAACGTTTGGCTTCAACTTGTTGTGGCCTTTGTTTGTTGGGAGTAGTGAGCTTGCGAACGTACCGCCTGTAACAAAAAAAAGAAAAATCTGATGAACTGAAAACCAACTGACGGTGTTGGTGAGCCTGGCGGTGTTTTCAGCTCAGCTTTCAGAGTCAAGCAAATATAGCTGATCCTCCTGTGAAAAGTTGAAGATGTTAAACATGTTCAAATTGTTCAAGCTATTTTAAGATGTGTGGAAGTGCGGTGAAATCTGCTGAAACTTCCGTAGTTGGACGCCTTTTCCATTCCGCACTTGTGCGGCGGCAGATGCTCCTGGCTGAATGCTGGAAACCAACTGAAGTTTCCAAACAACTTCTGTTTATTATCATGTTGTGACATTTACATCTGTCACTGTTGTTTGAAGGATGATCTTTACTTCTCACTTTTTATTTAGATCAGATTGATGTCAGTCTTCTCACCTTTGCTCTGTTGCGAACATTTTGATTTTATGTTCCGCGCAATTTTGGCTAGGGTGTGGAGGGTGGGTTGCACTTGACCCGTTCGATTTTTCTATCCCCTCCCAAACTTCGTTTTCCCTCCCTTATCTTGTGGGGGGGTGACAGGCGACATGACTTGTTGACCTGAAACAGTTACCAGACACTTGACTTGTGTTTGTGCGGTTTCACCCCCGACTCAATTAAGATAAGCAAAGACAAAAAGAAATATTAAATACATGTCCGACCTTCGAGCGATTTGCGTGGCGTTTTGAGTTTTACGTTTGTTTGAATAAGAAATTTAATTTACAAAGGGACGAGCACAAACAATATAATATTCTATAATTATAATATAATTATAACATATGATATAAAATATCTTATAATATGATATTATATGATATGATATAATAAAACATAACGTAAAATCAATGTAATATACATATAATATGAATATAATATAAATATGATATAATTATAATACAATTTTAATATAGTTACAATATAATATAATAAAACATAATATAATACAATATGATATAATATAATATACTTACAATATTTTGAAAATATAAGGATAATTATATTACGATTCATTATAATATAGTTATAATCACTGATGATATGATTATCTGATATAACATAATATTAAAGTAATATGATATTATAGAATGATAATATATATAGTAATATATATATAATATGATATATAATATAATATGATATAATATAATATAATATGATATAATATAGTACAATATGATATAATATAATATAATATAACATAATATAATATAATATAATATATATATAATATTGTATAGAGAATATATAATATATAATATATAATATATACAATATATACAATATATACAATATATATATATACACATAATATATAATATATAATATATAGTATATAATATAAAATATATAACGTATAGTATCAAAAATATACTATACAATAAATTATATATTATATATTTTACATATATTATATATTTTCTATTATATATATGTTATTATAAATTTTATATTTAATATATTATGTATAATATATATGATATATATAATATTGTATACATTACATTTTATAATATATGTATAATGCGTATATATTATATATTATATAATATATAATATATAATATATAATATATTATATATTATATAATTTAATATGTATGATATATAATACAGACAATATATTATATTATATAGATTATATATTATTATATATCATATATGATATTTACAATATATATATATAATATATGTATGACATAGTATATAATATATATCATATGTATAGAATATAATATATTAAATATATTATGTATTATATGTTATATAGTGTGTACTATATAATATATATTATTATATATTATTACATATTATTATATATTATTACATATTATTACATATTATTATATCTTATTATGTATTTTGTATTATATATTATATATTGTATATTTGATTTTAAAATAAAATTTATATTATATTTTATATTGTATATATTATATATATTATATGCTATATGACATATATTGTACACAATATATTATCAATTATATATTATTATTATGTATTTTGTATTATTTGTCATATTCTACATTCTATACTATATTTTATATTCTATATTATATATTATATATAAATATTACATGTTATATATACTATACAATATATAATATATTATATATTATATATCATATATTGTATATTATATATTTTATATTTTATGTCACATTCTATATTCTATACTACATGTTATAATATATTATATATATTATATATATATATTATATATATATTATATATATTATCGGATATATTAAATATTAAATGTTGTATATTGTATAGTATATATTATGTATTATATATTATATTATTATATATATTATATTATATATATTAAATATTATCTATTATATATCACATATTATAGATTATATATTATATATTATATATACTATATATTATAAATTATATATTATATACTATATTATATTAGATACTAAATATTATGTATATTATATAAAAAATATATATATATATTATTTGTATATATATATAAACATTATATCATATATATTATATTAATATATATATGTATTATATATTATACATTATCTATATATTATATATTATATATATTGTATATTATATATACAATATATAATATACAATATATAATTTATAGTATATATAATATACAATATATAATATACAATATACAATATATATACAATATATAATATTTAATATATACAATATATAATATACTTTGTACAATATATAATATATAATATATACAATATCTAATATATAACATATAACATATTTAATATATAACATATAACATAATACATAGTATAATTATACAATACAATATAGTAATACATACAATTCAAGGGAAATCGGAGGGACCAAAAGGGGTGTGAGCTTGTTCTTGTACCAGTTGGCGAGAATCATTCTATTTTTTCACGTGTGAATTCGCAGGGTTTATTTACTTGGTGCGCTGTGTCCCTGCCACGTCTTTACCCTGTGAGTGGTACCACCTGCGTTTTCATGATGTATTCTGCATACTACCTTGCTAATTGAAGGCCGATTGGGAAGCTGAAAAATTTTGTATTAGACTTTCTTTTTACACAAAGTTGCTACTGACAATCTAGGACAGGTAATCTGCCTTCAGTTTGATTAGCACGGGATGTTGTGGAATAGTTTTGTGGTTCACAAATCTATACGCAGAGTCCTAGATCCCTAAGACGTTCCACTGACTGCCAGCAGTGCCAGCAGTGCTAGCCGTGCCAGCAGTGATTGTTTCCACCCAGGTTATATTGCTCGCCTCAATGCCCTGCGCCGCGGCTATTTTGGAGACTTTGGTGCCGAGGAGTGTGACCAGATCCATGCGCCCAATCCACAAATCCCTGGAGTTTTGGTGTTCGAACGCGGATGCAACAGCTCCCGAAAAGTCATTGTGATCGCCAGCTTCGACACTGAGAACAACAAGACGATCCGGGTTCCGGTGTCGTGGCCAGCAGGAACCCAGTTAGCGGATTGTGTAGCACAGGAAGATCCCTTGATGTTGGTGGTGAGTCCACGCCGTGATGTCACCGTGATGTTGAAGCCAGTAGAGGCAATCGTCTTGGTGCCATTGCCGATATTTGTGGTGCCACCCACGGTGATTTACATGTCACCGTCCCATGGGTCTCAAGCGATTTGGTCCAGACAGGAAGGGACTTACAAGAACATCACAGTGCGCTTTGACCGTGCCATGGAGCCTTCCATCGTGAATGCTGCTCGTCTCAATGGGCAGCCAGCCTATTTCCGCTGTGCCAAGGCCTGTTCTGAGATCTTCTTGGAGGTCGATGTATCTTCCATGAGCAATGGCTTTCACACTGTGGAGGTGCAGAAAGAGGCTCGATCACTGGATGGGCAAGAGATGTTTGTGGGCTTCCAAGGTTCTTTCATCATCGATCGCGACATGGGGTCCATAGCAAGACCTTCGCATCACCAGAGGAGTGGACTGATCTGCGGAAACTTCACACAACTTTGCCACAACGCAACTGGGGCTGACTGGTTTCGAATGAAGAATTTGGGGTCAGGTTGGTCGCCATGGAGACCTATGGAAGCCGTCAGTGAGTGGGAGAGCATCCCTGGGGTGACAGTGCTGGTGCAATATCATGCGCAAAGAAGTGCCAGTTTTATGGTGGGAGACTGCATGTCCTTGGAATCCTCCTGCGTCACATCCTACCATGAATCCATGAACATTTTTGGTGATTTCAACAACTGGGGCATGGTTGAGACCAGCATTGGCCGCATGATGAAGCTGAAGCACTTTACTTGGGCCGTCAACTTGACGTTGGATCGATTTGTGCGAGCCAAGTTCGCACCAAAAAGGGATTGGAGCATCTCTTATGGCATCCATCCAGATAGAGAGTTGTTGTATAATATGCCCTCCTTCGATGATCGTTACTACACCTTCAATGTGGAGCCTACCCTTTCTGGCACCGAGGCCAGCCGTCAGTGGATGACGCAGCGCGAGCACTGGAACGAGGCACAAAACCTGGCCTCGGGGGCGGAGTTTGCTGTGGAGCTGTGGTTGAGCCATTTGTGCACTCCGCAACCCCCAGAATGTCAGCCACCCAAAGAAACACCTGACTGGGAGGGGCATGGCTTTCAACCGGGTGAGGATCAGGAATGGTGTCGAACCGTTGGAGTTCACAAGTGTATGGAGTACAAAGAGAATGACAACTCGCCAGCGATGAGTGCATGTGGAGCCTTCTCGTGCTGCCGAAGAAAGGTGTCCACGGTGCCAAGTGGTGCAGCTGAGACGTGTTGTGTGCTCTTCAACGATTTGCTCTTGAACTATACTGTCACTTCGGATCTCTCGCAGTGTTCAGGTTTGGCCACCACCATGACCACGACTCTTCCGCTCAAGACCTGTCCTCCGAGGAGCGTCACTTTAGAGGAGGCGCGCAATGCTGGACGGGCCCAGATCTCGCCATATCAGCCAGATGCAGCACAAATCCAAGAGACGCTGCAGTGGAGCCGCGAGCGCATCGTTGAGGCAGAGAAGGATTTTGAACTGCAGAACTACAAGCGTTGCTGGGAAGAAATTAAGCAACCCAATATGATTTTGCAGCTTGTTGCCTCTTTTTATTCACAACTAGGGAAGGCCTAAAAAGAATTGTCAGATGATCTGGCACCATAAGCATGTGCATAGTGAAGCAAGGATTGTTGGGTGTTGTGTCCCATCATTTTTTCACAGAGGATTGAGTTCTCCAAAGTCTTGGAGTCGTGATGTGGCCTACTCCATCATGGTGGATCGTTTTGCCAACGGAGATTTGTCCAATGATGAGACGAATCTTCCAGACTTCCAGGTAGATGAGATGAAGAATGGCCAGCCATGGTCCATCCATCAGTGGCGTCATGGGGGAGACTTGCAGGGAGTCAAGGGTCGACTGACTTACCTCAACCAACTGGGTGTTTCGACTGTGGTCTTGTCACCCATCTTCCTGAATGCAGCAGGCGTGGGGTGTGGGCCTTTTTTTCACTGCCTTCCTGGTTAAAGAGGGAACACATTTATAATTATAGAGTTTGCCAAGTAAACTCAGCTGACCCTCTAAATTTGCTTTCCTCTTCCATTTCTTTGTCTGAGACAGTTTAAAGATTGGATTGCCATGCCTGCAGCTGCGGGCGCAGGTGAATATCATGGTTTTTGCACTTCAGATATCTCGAAGATTGATCCTGGCTTTGGCAGTCCAGAACTTTTGCGTGATTTGGTTCAAGATGCTCACGCTCTGAACATGAGAGTGCTCTTGGATGTGCAGGTAAATCATGTTTGTGCCAAAGGAATGAAGTACAAGGCAAATCCAAATGTGGAGAAAGTTAGCAAATGCATCAAAGAAACCGAAATCGCTTACTGGGGACTTGATCGTGGCTATCCCTTGATTCCAAGCGAGAATCGACAGAGCTTGACATACTCAGACCTGCCCAAATATTTGCAACATGAGTCTTTTTTCATTCGCTGTGGTCCAAAGGCCATGTACAGGCCTATGGGTCAAGACTTTATCAAGTTGGGGGTGGAGAATGTCACTTCAATCGATGCCGGTTTCGTATTTCCCGAGTTCTTTTCTGATACATATTTCGAGCTAAATACCATGGACACAGCTCTTCAAGAACTCTATGGAAACCTTCTGAAATATTGGATTGCTTTTGCTGATATCGACGGCTATCGAGTCAGTGCTGCCGCTCATGTCACTGCAGATTTTACAGCATATTTGGCCACAAATCTGCGCTTCTATGCAGCGGCCCTTGGGAAGGACAACTTCTTTGCTGTCGGCGAAGTGCAGCAATCAACATCTCCCTTTGGTTTCATGCATGTTGGCCGCGTACAACCTCCGCAGGGTGCTGCATATTTGCCGAAGAGAGTTCAGGGTGTGATGGAAGAGATTTGCCCCTATTACAGCGCACTTTCACCTGCACTCCCTGGATTCTTGTCAACCTATCCTGTTCAGGAATCCTTCTTGGTCAGAGAGATTGCAGCAGGGTCCTCCCAACCAATGGCCTTGTATGAACGTGCAGATTGGTATGACGCTGTGATGATGTCTCGTGGCATCCTACAAACTCAGGGAGACATTGCTTTGAGCATGATAGCAGCTGAGTCGAAGGATATGCCAAGGTTGTTGTCTCAACAGGGAAGTCATCATGCCCAGGATGTGTGGCGTTTGCAAGTGACTTTAGCTTGGAGCTTCACTTGGTATGGCATTCCTGAGATCTACAACGGTGCAGAGATGGGTCTCAATGGTGTGTGCTTCCGCGACCGGGAGGAACGACAAAGGATGAAGTCATCCATGGTGAATTCGGGGATGCAGGATGAAGTTGCCGAGACCATTTTAGCTGGTTGCGATTACACGACCCTCGCCACCTCCATGGATTCAGGCTATTGGCGTCAGGACATGTTTTCCAGAGGCCCCTTCCGCTTGGGATCTGCAGTGCCCAGCATCCAACAGCAGGCGAGGGGGTGGAATTTGAAAGGATTGAAGTAGGTTCCATGGAAACGGGAATCATGGCATTTTGGCCGTAGAATCATGGAAGTAGTTGAAGTAGTCGAAAGTGGAAACAGTTGAAACAGTCAAGCTGCCGACGATTGGCGCTGCGTAGCTTTAGGCGAAGGGGTCGTGTCTAGTTGTGTGTAGTCGTGTCTAGACAAAGTCTGGCAGAGTTTTCCGGGGGAAGCTGGAGGCAGTTGCGCAATGTTGCACAATTACCGCAGACGCTTCAATCTAGTCGAAGCCAGAATTTATTTTCAGGCTATTAACAGTAACAACATCCTCAAATATGCACAGAAGAACCTGCCGTTCAAGAGGAGGGTCTATGATTCTTGTATTGTTGCACTATTTTTTGCTTTCTAAATTTGTAAATATTAACATTCTACTCAGGAACGAGATGAAAACACGGTACACATTCAATGCTCATCCGCCCATGTTATTTGATTTCTAGGTATCATTCAGGCTAGGCATGACACAAACAACAGCCTGAGAACTGCAGGCGGGCATTGATCGAACCTTGCAGGGTGCCAATGGCCCTCACTGGTGTGAAGATCCTATGCTGGATCGCAACAACCCATTGTACAAGATGACTCGAGCCTTAATTCGCATGCGGAAGGCATGCTTTCCATTGCAAACAGCTGCAGACTTGCCAGCAAAGGCCATAGATGGAGTTGACCAGGAGTTGGCTTATTGGAAGTTGCCCGTTTTGGAAGAAAACGAAACCTTGCCGGAAGAGCAGCCCAGGATCATGCTGGTTGTCCTGCGAATGGTAGACACTCCCAATTTGGAATATTCGAAATATGTCTTCCCAGAGATCCCTGAAGCATATGCGGAGGGACAAGCTTTTGTAGACCTTTTCGATGGGACACGATTGGCAGTGGTTTACAAGGATGAAAACAGAACCATCCTGCTGGTCCCTGGCAACTTGGCCACCAGCCATGTGGCCATCTTTGCTCCATTGGGTTCCATCACTGCAGACTCCGTGGGCGATTGGTCAGTCTGCAAGGGAGTGAGCTTGCAGAAGCTTGAGGAGTACAGCTGCGCAGCGCAAAGTTCGTGGTTTCCTATGTGGGGCACCCTATCAACCTCCATCATTTGGATCCTTGCGGTGGTGCTGATTCTGGCCGTGAATTCGCGCACCAGCATCTACCTGAGTGTGGTCATGGAGCCCACCTGTCCCAGCATTTGCCAACCCGCAGGACTGCGGGTGGAGCCGCGTCACATTTTGGTGGCGGCCATTGAGCACACCATTCCTGAGAGGAACGTCAAGGTCGGAACGGTCGGAATGCTGGTGTGATGTCCGGTTTCCTTTGCTGGGGCTGTGTTTCAAACATGGAACCCTTATTCATATATATATATTATACATATATCATATATACAATATTTTATATTATATATATAATATACATGTATAGATAGATAAAATCAATACATATATATATATACATAATAGATAACTACATATATAAATATACAAGTTTATATTTCAATAATATATATATATATTCACGTCGCTTCGCGACGGCAACCGCCCGCACCGCATCGTTGGGCAGCCGCTCGTAACTGCCAATGATGTCGGCCATTGAGACCAAAAACATCCGAAAGTACTGATTGTCGGAAAAAAAACGCGAAGAATTTGATAGCCATGTATAGCGGACCAACGCAGTTCAAAAAGTAACGAAAAACATGAAAAAACGGCGAAATTGCTGTTATTTACAGTGTTTTTGCGCGGTGAGAAGCAGAAACCACTGCAAATACCATGGTTTTTGAGGGTCAGGTGGCCAAAAACACTGTAATTCACCCTGCTTTGCGTGGGGTGGCCGCCCACACCGCAGGTTTATTTCGGTCCGTGAGAGGGGCTAAGGGTGGTTTTCCCCCGTGGGGGCTCCCCAAGCTAGGGAATTTTCACTTTTCCCCCCCGTGGGGGCTTCCCAAGCTAGGGAATTTTCACTTTTCCCCGCCGTGACAGCTTCCCAAGCTATGGAATTTTCACTTTTCCCTCCCTTGGAGGCTCTCCAAGCTGCGGAATTTCAAATAGCTAGACAACGACGCCTAGATAGTCCCCCAAATCCCGTGTTCTTTGAATGTGTTTCCATGTTTTTGCAATGGTTTCCTTCAAAGCACGGTACTTTACACTTTTGTCGCCATAAAACCGGTCGAAAACATCATGTTCGACAATGCTTCCAATTCCCTTATCTCCCCAACCGTTGAAAATACCGCTATTTACAGTGTTTTCTTCAATTTTTCCATGTGCCAATGCCGGTAGCCAACTCCAACATATATATAAGAAATCCTTCCAAAACATTGTTTTTGACAGTGTTTTTCCAATGTTTCCAGTCAAACAGACGGTAATTTACACGTTTTTTGCCATAAAGGCAGTAAATCCTTCCAAAACATTGCTTTTGACAGTGTTTTTGTAATGTTTCCAGTCAAGCATACGGTAATTTACACGTTTTTTGCTATAACGTCAGTCCAAAACACTTGTTTTTGCAGTGTTTTCAATGCTCTGGCATCCAAAAACCCTGCAAAATCTTGCTATGTACAATGTTTTTTTCATTTTTGGCCGTTTTTCCATTGCCGGAAAGCTACCAAAATGACCCAAAATTCCATTTCAATACCCTCTTGCGCTCAGACACCCAAAAATCCTCGAAAAATGTCGAAAACACCACCGTATTCTGGTCTCGGTGCGAAACCGTTTTTGGCCCCCCCCAGCTAAAGCTGATATAGCGACTGCTATATTAACAAATGTCATTGAGCATTTAGTGTTGCTGTTGCCCCCCAATAAGCACGCCTTCACCGCCAAAGCGGTGTGGGCGGATTTACAGTGTTTTTTTAACCAACGTCAAAAAACACTGGTATTTACGATGTTTTCATTCACACCGTAACATAAAACAGCGTAATTTACGAGGTTTTTGGAAGTTTTGAAGCTAGCCGTCAAGCATGCAGAAAACAGAAAAACACTGTAAAAACCAGTGTTTCTGCTATCACAAAACGACGAAAATCAGTCCGAAAACGGGTCCAAAAACTCAAAAATCCGCCTCCGGGCCAGGCCACCTGCGGAACCGCAAAAAAAGATGTTGCAAACCAAAAAATTGAGGTCAAAAAGTTGAAAAACACGGTTTTTTTTCACTTTTCGCTTGCCGATTTTGGACGGGCGCGTTCACGAACAGGTGTCTTCCGTACTGTTTTTTACAGTGTTTTTTGAAGGCGAGCGTCACGACCTATCAAAAACAGGAGGTTTTGGCCGAAAAATGCCCCCCCCCCAGGTAAACCTGTAACCTTTTACGAGTGCCATCCGGAAGATCACGCCCCAGCACCTTCGGTGCGGGCGGATTTACGTACATATCCATTAATCTATCTATTTACCTACCTACCTATCTACAGTATCTACCTATCTACCTACCTATCTACAGTATCTACCTACCATTCTATTTGTTTGTCTGTCTGTCTGTATGTCTATCTTTCTACATACATACATACATACATACAGACATACATACATACAGACATACAGACAGACATACAGACAGACATACAGACAGACATACAGACATGCATACATACGTACGTACGTACGTACGTACGTACGTACGTATGTATGTATGTATAGTATGTATATACATATAATATATATATATATATATATATTTATGGTATATGTTATATACATATGTATAATTTAAATAAACACATAGATATTGTGTATTTTAAAACTTTATTGTGGTGTCACGAAGTCCAGGTGAGTGCTGGTGGCCTTGGAAAGGTGCTGGATCAAATGCTGCGAGAACATCCGCCTGGCATCATGAGTTTGGTCCATCCGATGTTTGGTGATGTGGACTATGGGCCCCTGGATGAACATACCCGCTTCACCATTGTGGTGGATGGCAAGGACCAGGAGATTGTAGTCTACACCATGCAAAGTGAACTCAATGGAATCACTCGGGTTTGGTACATTTTGAGTCATGAACTCTTCAACGAGCGTGTGAAAACTGCTCCTTATCCTAGTTCCATGACCAAAGTCAAGACCCTTCGTTACTTTTCCTTGTGGAATCAAGCGGTGGCTCTCTTGTTGAGCGAACTCCGCCCTGATGTGTACCACTGCATGGATTATCATGCTGCGATGGCACCACTCTATCTTTCTCCTGAGACGCAATTGCCTGTGATTCTGGTGTTGCACAATGCAGACTATATGGGAGTCTTGGCAAACCCTTCCAAGCTATTTAAATTTCACTTTTTGACCCCAATCTTTCAGAGTGTGGTCAACTCTGTGAATCTGCTCTATTTAGTTGTAGATTCAACTTCTCAAAGACTAACCCGCTAGCAATCAGCATGAGTAGCATCCTGACACCCAGGAGTGATCGAAACAGATTTCATCTGCGACAGATTCTGGAAGACAGTAAGTCACCTGCGGCGACTCAGTCTGATCTTCAATGTCGAGATCTCGACCATTCGAAAGTATTGCATGTTTGAGGGCCGTTTCAATATGTTGAAGGCATGTGTGACCTACATCCGCGAAACGCAAGCGGGGCACGGCATTTGTGGGGTGGCCTACAACTATGCCGTTGAGTTGGAGCGAGAGAAAACCTTGTTTGCCGGCTTACCACACCTCATTGCCCTGGACAATGCCACGGATCCCTCTGACGATGCCAATGCAGAGATCGATAAACTGCGCTCTCAGCGCTTTGAATCGAAGGCGGCCTTGCAAAAGTATTGTGGGTTGGATGAAGATCCAGGCCTGGGTCCATGTTCTGGTGAAACTGATAGTCAAACTGATGAATCCTATGCAATATATGTACCGGTGTAATCATTGCAAGTGTTTAGGTTGAGGTCTGCATGGATTTACTGTGAAGGGACCTTGAACCTTGACCATCTCTCAGGAGCCAAGATCTTGATCTTCATTGGTCGCTGGGTGAAGCAGAAGGGTGTGGATCACATTGCGATGTTGACTCCAGTGTTCCTGCGGAGTCACCCTGAAGTTCAAATTGTCTTGGCAGGCGGGAATCCATCCTGGAAATTGAGCGTGCCTTGGGCAGTAATGGAAGGTGCCACATTTGGTGACTGATGGTAAAAGGATGTAAAAGGATGTAAAAGGATGTAAAAGGATGTAAAAGGATGTAAAAGGATATAAACGGGCTCTGGCTTCCGGAAGCTTTTTGGATGATGAATGCATTTTTCTGGGACCACCGTGTGCTGGTTGGTAGTTTGCCACCGTTTGTCCTGGCAGGACCTCCGGATGATTCCTGTGGTTTGTTCGCTGGAGAGCTTCTGGCAGGCTTGGGGGATGAATTCAAAGGCCGACTCTTTGTTTGCACCAAGCTTCTTGGCTGCTTCTCACGGTCACAGGCTTGTGTCTCACTGAAGTGCCAGACAAATTCGTAGGTTCTTGAGAAATCGCTTTTGACCACCTCAAAGTGGAAGAACAACAGCTCAGCAGTCTGACTGGTGATGGGAGTGATGCGGCCGGTGTCGCTTGAGCCCGCCAACTTGACTTAGTGATACTGCCAAGGGTTCACAGAGCAAAAAGGTGGATCTGGGGATGATTTTCTAATCATTGAAAAACATGATCGGAATAATCCTGCACTATCTTAATGAGTCTCAATGCATATGAGGTTCTTCAAGCTCACGGAAGATTTGCGTCGTGGTGCTCATCTTTGCTTTACTCCATCCTGTTCCGAGCCCTTCGGCTACGTGGACGTGGAGTTTGGCTTGTTGGGAGTCCCTTCAGTTGGTTGCGCCATTGGTGGCTTAGGAAAGATGCCGGGAGTCTATTTCCGACAGCAAAACTCTGACGATGCCAAGAGTTTGATCGACTCATTCTTCTGTGCAGTGGATTATGCCTTGAATTTGCCTGAGAACGACTACTGGGAAATGGCACGCGCAGCCACAACAGCTGAGTTCCCCTTCGAAACCTGGCGGGAGAACTTGATCGGCGCCTACACCGAGGCGGTCACCATGTTCCAACACTCTGAGGGCAGGTCGCTTACCCTGAACCACCTCTGGGTCAGGAAGGGTGCCACCAAAGCGGTTGCTGATGCCTTGGCTCCGCGCAAAGATACCAAGCTGAGGAGGATGTCTTCAACAGCTCAGGTGGGAAACTGGGCCACTCCGCGGGGCACATGCGGTCAGGTGTGTCAATTCCACTTTCAATGCTTGGCTTGTCTTATTGGAATCTCATGGAGCAGAATCTCTGTAGATGTTTTGATGTTTCAAAGTCTTTGATTCACAGTGTTTCAATGTTTGACACTGGAGCACTGGAGCAGAATATCGCAGCTTCGCTCCAGGTGGCGCACCGAATGCAAGTCTTGGACGTCACCGAGGATGCCGAATTCCTCACCCAAGGCGTCAGCGAAGAACGGGTCCATGAGATTATGAGGCAAGCGATGGCGAAGACTCAAGGGAAGGTCAAGGACGCGGGCATTTCCTGAATTTCATGTGCCAAATAACTGGAGATCCACTTTTGTCATCTATTGTTACTATTGTTTTCTGGGAGGTGGTGCTGAGGTTTTCTCCCTGTCAGGATGCTGAGACATTGCAGAGTCACATTTGCCAAGCAGAGCAGCGCTTGACAGAGAAGAGCCCATTGTCGTTGTTCCTGATGAAACCGTTTCTTCGAGGTGTTTGCCTCCGAATTCACGTGGTCATTGCCCTTGGGTACATCTTCTCGCCCGTTGGTGAAGCACTCCTGAAAACATTGGAGACAAGAGCACTTTCCAAGTCTGGAGCATCGGAAGAGTCCTTGTGGGCCGTCTTCTATGCAGGATCTGCTTGCGGATGTTTGCTTTGGCTGTTCCTTTCTGGTGGTATTCCTCCAAATCTGTTGATGGCCAGCTCTCAGCTTATGAACATGCTCTTCTTTGTACTTGTTCCTGCTTTGCCGCAAGAGTTCTTTGACAGTGCAGTTGTTTCACTGACATATTTGGGGCTTTGTGGCTTGCAAAGCACCTCTCGCATGCTATTCATTATTTGGAACTTCAACGAAGACTTCCATGGTGGCTTCCAGGTGGCAGCACGGAGAATTGGAGTGCTTGAAAGTCTTCGCTCTGGCGTTTCGTGGATAGCTGTGACTCTGAGCTACGCAGGACATGATTCGAAAACACCTTGCAGTCCCATGTTTTATAAATTTAGTGGATGGGATGAAGAGATGCCGCATCACATTATATTGTTTCCCAACATAAGACAAGATCTGCGGAAAATATACACCAAACCCGCATTCCCTGCGGCTTGAAATGGAATCTTCTGGTGAGAATGGGTTGAAGAAACCCTCACTCCAACCCCGCAAAAACCAAGCGATTCTGAAGTTCTGAAGGGTACAGTAGATAGTGATTTCAGGACTAGACTACATCAACAAGCAAGTCGTGCTGGTTGTCTCCTTAACCACCTTGGTGCTTCTCTTCAAAGCGCCCCATTGCTATGCTTCTTACGTCCTGCCAGCCACTGGCCTGAAAGAAGGTTTGACTCACACGTCCTTCTTGATGCTGGTCATTGCGGAGTCTTTGAACACCCTGGCATCGTATCCAGCCCAGAGTTATGCTACATGGTGGACCTTGAATGGCTGGGAGCCTTCCGAGATCTCCTATTTTGCCTTGGCCATTGGCCTTGTGAGTCCTATAGCCCTCTTCATTATCTTTGGCATGATGACCAAGATGAACCGTTGGGGCCCATGGGCCATGCGAGATTTCAGTTGCCTTCTTCCACCTGGCTCTTTGCTTCGAGCCCTCTGTTTGTGGGACTTGGGATATCTGAACTTTCGCTCAGAGATCTTCGTGTTTGCCATCTTGGTCTCTGTTGGTTTGGACGTGGCCAGGGGAGCGGCAGTGTGGTCTTCCATCATGACCATCTTGGGGAACAAGTGGTATGCACTGAAGGGCTGCTACATTTGCCTCACGCTGATCAGTACATGTGCGGCGTTGTCGCCCTTTGTTTGCCACTGGATCGCTTTGTTGGCCACCCGGACCTCACCCCTGGTGGACACCAAAACCTTGGATCGACCCATCTCGGGCAAGGGATCTTTAGGTGAGGCCACTGCCTGGGCTGTGGTGCCTCTGGCAGCTTTGGCCTATCTGTTCCAGTTGCTGGCGTGGAGATACTTCAATGGTGGCATCCTCACCTTCAAGGGTCATGGGAACATCCTGCCGGATGGAAGTAAAACCGGCACGGCCTCAACTATTCACCGCATTTCCGCCAAGGAGATCAAGTAGCTGGACAGAGAAGGGCTAAGGGCTGGGAGACAGAAGTGAAATTGGGATTACACGCTGTCCACCGAAGCGTGAAAGGGGTTGATGCCATGAGGTGTATCTAAACCTCCGAAAACTGGGCAGGGAGGGTCCCAGTTTCCAGTTTTCTTCTCAACAAAACATGGATATTACGTATATATATATATAACATACTGCATATCACTCATATATAACATATACACGATCCATATTTGTTTGTGATATCTCCATGTATCCCTGGTCCGCCTGAGGCGCAAGCGCCAGGCCGCCCAGCATGTGGCGATTTCCGAGGCGCCGCCGGCGGTGGTGTCGGAGGCGGCGCCAGCAGCGGAGCTGGACATCACCGGGGTCATCGAGGTGGACGAGATGCAGGTTGGAAATGAACAAAGAACATGGAATTTATTTAGGTATGACGTATATAATATAGGGTATAATACTAATATATATATAATTATATGATATATATAATTATATGATGTGTATATATGTATACTATATATGTATATATTTATATATACATATTGATAGACATCATTATATATATATATACACAGTATATATACGTGTATGTACTAAAATGCATTTACTAGTAAATGCTTTTTGGAAACTTTCTTTATAAATTGAAGTTGGGGTCATATTGAACGAAGACATAAATGATGGGATGACCATACGTGCAAGATCTTCGAATTTTGTGAGCAATACTTTGACGCAATAGCATAGCAATGAAGAAGAGAAACCAATTCCTTTTGCAAGTGCAATGAAGCCTGGCCCTGGAGGAGAAAGAGAATGCAGCCAGTCCACGTTGGGATCATGTAAGCAGTCCGAAGTCAGAAGCGAAGTCAGAAGGACTGATCTTTTCGAAGTGGACAAGTTGGATCTTTGATAAGAAAACCCCAAGCCCAATGACAGTTGTTTGAGAATGAGGTGTTGCCAAGATCCATGCCTTGCCCCTCTCAACTTGCATGTGAGGATACCATGCACCGGCGCTGCCTGATGGCGCCGTGGCCGAATCGGTGCAGGTCCTGTACCGAAGCGAGAGAACGAATCGAACTCACAGGTGCCTTGGATGCCTTGGGTTTGTGTTTTTGAGGCTTTCTTGACCACTTTTTCCCCACATCTTTGTGTGGGATTCTTGTTTTTCTGTCGTGCACTCCCGTCCATTGTCCGGCCCGCCGTCCGCCCCCCCCCCGTCCGCCCCGCCTCACACACACACAACTCTTTCACACAAAACCATTCCACACTTTGTCACACACACACACAAATCTTTCACACACACAACCTTGTCACACACGACTCTTTCACACACACACACACGCACAACACTTTCACACACAACTCTTTCACACACACAGCTTTGTCATACACAACTTTGTCGCCACGCCTTACACACAACTGTTTTACGCACACACACAAGCTTCAACACACAACACTTTTAGACGCAAACCTGTCACACAACTCTTTCACACATAACTCTTTCACACAAACACAAACACACACACACACGCAACACTTTCACGATGCCACTACTCACTACACAACTCTTTGACACGCACACACACACACACACACGCACAACACTTTCACACACAACTTTCACACACAGCTCCTTCGCACACAAACTTGGACGCACAAAGTTCGTTTGTCACATACAACTCTTTTCACACACACACACAAGCTTGAACACACAGCACTTTCACCCAACATTGCCACACACCAGTTTTTTTTTACACACACACACAACTCTTTCACACGCGCACAACACTTTCACACACACACAAGCCTTTCACAAAGAACTCTTCTACCCACACGCCCTTCACACGTAACCTTTCACACACAACCTTGTCACAACTCTTTCACACACACACAACCTTTCACACAAAACTTTTTGACATAATACAACTGTTTCAGACACAACACTTTTACACACAAACTTCCACACACACAAACACACAACTCTGTCACACACAGCTCTTTCACACAGTCTGTCTTCCAGCATCTCCTTTTTTTCCTGCATTTTCCATCCCATGTTCACATCTGTTTCGTGCTTATTGGAAGTAGTTAACATGTGGGGTTATCTGGTCCTTTAATTGCACGTCCTGGATCCACCTGGTACTTGGCTGGCAACAAGTTATCATGGCTTTCAAGCATGCTGTACTTACTTGGAAGATTTGGAAGGGATTTTGATCCATGGCTGGGTGACTTGGACGAGCTTGGGAATATGCTGGTGACAAGGGACATCATTTGTATAAGATTCACTGTATTACAGCGCGCCCGTTACCTTGAAACCCGCCTGTGACTCCCAAAGTAAGGACAAAAAGCGGAAAGAGCAGCTTGAGCCTGAAGAGCAAACTCGATGATGATGCGGAAACAGATGACTTGCGAAAAAGCCAAGCATCACAAGAGCCGGAGGCGCTCTCGGGGTTGAAAAGGTTGAAATGCAGCCAAAGACTTAGCAGTTGAGCCCTTTTCCTTTCCTGTTAGGAAAGGCTGTTTGTCAGAGCTGATATACGCCTACGCTCCCTCACAAACTCAAGTTTTTTTGTGGCCTGACACAATGAAGGAAAGGTTTGGCGGAAGCCCCCCACTCTTGCACCAAGTTTCACAAACTGGCTCAAGGTAGACAGTAGTTTTGCCAGAGTTGGATTGCAGATCTCGCGCGTGGTCCCCTGCAGGCACAAAAGATACCAATATCAGCTGCAGGCGTCCGGGGTTGCGGGGTTCTGAGCAGTATTCCCAGCTTCCCAGTTCCTTCCAGGAGGTGGCAAGTCTTCTTTCATAACAAGAGTCAAAGGAGGGGGGCACTCTACTTTTCCCTAAATAAGGTATTCTAATCTTGTTCCACATGTCAACCTGGAGCATATTTGGCTGTATTTGCATTGGTTTCAGGAACAGAAGAGATCGATTTTAAAGACACAAATCAGACGTCAACTATGCAGTGTTATTTACCTGCAGTCATCCCTTTCAATGAATTTCAATGTCACAATGTGTTTTTTGTCACTTTTCGTAGGTCTCTATCGAACCGAGCCGAAGACGCCGAAGACGCCAAAGGAGTCGAACCAGTTCG